ATTTTATTTCCACTGAAGTCAGCTTGCTTGGATGGCAAGTGAGAGCTTTGTGGTTAGGGCTAAAGCCTAATCAATTCTTTCTTTATCGTGCACTACATCCGTTCTTTCAACATGCTGGCTTTCATGGTTATGTCAAAGAAATGAACTAGGCTTGGAAATAATTAGACGCTTCGTCCAACAATTGCAGTTTAAAAAAATAAAACTTCTAATTTCCATGGCTGAGTTATGCTAATTTTATCCTTATTCTTATTTGGCAAATATTTGAAGTGAACTTGGATTTAGATTCGATGATACATTAACTTTTCGTTTGGTCGTGGTCTTATGATGGCTTGGCTTCGCCTTCTCCACCTTTTCCGATTTATTTGAATACTTTAAGAATACCTCCGAACTAAATTTCAGGCATATTGAGGATTCTCTCAATCTTATATCTAATGTAGGTGTCATAGTAACTACTATTATTTGAAAAATTGAGGTAAAACTGGCTTCTTCAATTAAAATTTTGCAATAAACTATTTTAATTAACATTGTTGGTAGTGCTCCTGATATATTTATTGTTCTCACACTATTGTGTCAGGCTCAAACTCAATAACACTATCTTTCATTACATAATTTGGCTGTGAAATAAAAAATTATACAATAATAGCTAGAAGATGCCATACGAACGAGCCTGTATATCTTTTATATCATATTTTCATCATCTACCCTGAAATTGCTTACAATAGTAATTTTCTTGTAAATAATGGAACAAATAGTTAATTTAATTTTTCACAAACAGAAATGGATATTTAAAATATTTTTTATTCTACTTTCTTGGTTAAATTTTGTCTCCGTTATTGGGAATTTGAAGTATTTGATCCTATGAGGCATTCTTCCTTATAATTTTTTGGCTGGAAGTGGTTTAACACAGTTCTATTCAGTGAAAATTTTCCATATTATATCAAACAAGGTAATGGTTAACTATTGGAAAAAAGCTTATATAATGAGGATATTTATCTATCCATATTGTTAATGATATTCATTCTAGGTAAACCGTTTTATTGTCTAGCGATTGAAATTGTCTGAAAAGCTCATTTGCCGGATTTATATTATTCTTTACATTAGTCTTAAGAGGTGAATAGGTTGATTATATACTTTTGAGTTTATGTCTTCTTATTTTACATCTAAGTATCAAATTAAAAAAAATAATTTTCGAAATATCATATCATGAATAGTTTAGACTTTCCATTAAGGTTATGATAAATAGATGTTAACACATCATTTAGATTGCTATTAAAACGCGAGCAATCACATACTGGAGTATTTGGGCTGAAAGCCCATTAACTATCGTAAAGTAAATCCTAAATCTTTATGACTGAATAAGCATGCTTAAGATTTACTCCTTTTATGTTTTCAAATGCAAACACTTTGGGAAGCCGGCACACTCAATCACACAATCAATTGAATTAACTCTTCTACACCTAGTTTTGATTTGAATTCATTTTTCTGATTAAAGAGTGCTTTATCAAATTATTAATCTAAAAACCGCAGGCTTCATAAATATTTAATGTCTATTACAAAATCTTCTTGTCCAAAGACTCTGTAGATACTCGTCGTTCTCTACTGGCCTTACGGGACCTCATCCAACAAGCAAATACGGCTGCATTCGGTTTCAACGTACCGCTTTCTAGATTATTAGTCGAACTACCTGCCTTATGGCATGCTGGCAGACTAATCGTCACTCTTCTACGCATATTTGGATGTGCTGACTCCACCTTACTGGCCTATAACTCATCGAGTCCTGTACCTCGAGGCCGAATAGTTGCAGGCGGCCCAATTTCCGATTTAGCTGCGATGGTACCTCTTTCTGGAGCAGGCACTTCAATATTAGTTGAAGATTTTACTCAAAGGAAGGCAAGTAAAAATATAGAGCATCTTCATCATCAGCGACAGAAGTCGAAAAATGGGCCTGAAGGAACAAGTCGAGATGAGAAAGAGTATAGTAATGATGTTACAACCTCGCAATGGCTTTCTCTTGATTTTGCGGATCCCCTTCGTATATCGCAAAGTCTGCTATCTGTTCTGAATGCTACTAACCAGTTTATTCATTCGCTTAATTGCACAGGTAGACCATCATCTTTTGTATTTGTATTTGTATTTTTATAATATTCTATATTTCTCTATGCAAATATACGCTATATGCCTTCCCCTCCTTTTTCTTATGCAAGTAGAGTTTCAAGACTACCAGTAAATCAGTAATATGAGATGTATTCACTCTATTTTGTTTGAGGTGATGAAGGGCTTGTAGTAGAATAAGACTTATAGTCACCTTAGGTCGTATAATGTTATTAAGGACTAATGTTTGATAGTTTTATTGAGCCTATGGTGTTATTTTGTGTTCCATAGCCTTATTAAATTGGGCTTTAATTTTCTCTTGAATTTATGAGGAAAAATTTGGTTTCGAGGAATTCCTTAGTGATATATTGTGACATAACTCTCGATTTGGAAATAAAAATTTGTTGGGAGGAATTCATGAAATGGTTTCATCGGGGTCATAGGATGGTAAGTCAAAGATTTATTCGCATAATCCAATAGTCTTTACTCCGTTGGAAGCCTTAGATTTCCAATGAGTCCATCTTTGATGGAATGAATTCTGCCCTTGCATGTGCCTTAACACCCTAAACTCTGTTGCTTTTCTTAGACAATATGTCGGCCAATATATTGAGGTCAATATATGGTACAACATATGAGTCACACTGTAAGGAGGGTTTCCCACAACCCTAACTTGGAATGGGTATCCGCATAGGTTGTTCAAACCCAACTTGACATTCTTATTGCTGATAAGCAGGTATTTAATGTCATAACCAGCCTTTTCCGTGCATGAACAAGCCTGTTCCTGATGAATTAACTTCCTTTTGATATAACATTGCCAAGTAACAGCATTCGTTTGTTTTTGGTGTGCTTAATCTGAATTTGGTAAAATGTTCAGTGAGTGCTTCTGATATCCTTTTGAAGGGTTGTCAGGTGTTATATCTTCAACCATATGTTCATCATAAGTTTTGTAGATTTCTGTGAACTGCTGTATCGGCCAGAAAGCCTTTGTCGATTTAAATGTTCGATTTCAATCTATAAAATAGACTTGCGCACTTAAAGGCGACTGAGTGCTTTGACGTCTTATCTAGAACGATCGGAGACCGACATGAGACATCCTTCCTGAAGTTGGCTTTACCGTTGATATGAAGTAAGCTTTTGAGACTACCAGTAGATCATGTATATAAGATGTATTCACCCTTTTTCGATTGGTTTAATAAGGAGACTAGTAGTTGAATTTTTCCACAATGATATGTGCAGACATGGCATTTCGGTTGAATTTCGCATAGTCTTGCTTCCCCAAAACGTGTTCTTATCTAGGGTGGACCGCAATTGTCACCTATAGCTGAGCGGAGTTTCATTCGTAACCCAATTTTATTTATTAATAGATCAGAATATCACCTTATTATTTTATTTAAATTCACCATTTGCGATTTGCTATATTTTTTACATTATCTGCTTATGTATGCCACAGTCCTTATTTTTAGTAAGGATTGGATGAGTAAGCAGATTTCTTGTGCTTGACTTGAATATAGCCCCTTTTAATGGTCCCAAAAGGAAAGCTAGCTGCTTCTTGTAGTTTTCAAAACTGCCAGGGATAAAAAGGTTCGACTTAGTTACAAGAAGGTCGGATTTAGCTGCGATATTTGCAACAGCCAAGGCTGATCATAAAATATATTTATCGATGAC